AGACAGCTACACAGACATCCAAACACAGACATCCATACACAGACATCCATGGATGTCTGTGTAGCTGTCTGTGGCTGTCTGTGGTTGTATGTGTGCTGTCTGTGCAGCTGTCTGTGGCTGTTTGTGGGTGTCTGTGTGTGTCTGTGTGCTGTCTGTGGGTGTCTGTGGGTGTCTGTGTGCTGTCTGTGGGTGTCTGTGGGTGTCTTCATGTTTTACTATTACCCTAAACTTCTGACTGTCTCTGATTGTGTCCAGACAAAAGCGTCATCGTTTATTTCGATGTTAACACGTCTGCAAAGCCATTGTCAGCGCAAGAGAGTCGGATATGGCTTGACTGTACTGTTTCTTCAGAGATGGGCAAGTCCATGTGGACTTGCCACTGGGACTGAAGCTATAAGAGGGTTGGGCTAAATTTGGACTGTTTTTTGCACTGTTGTGACTGGTCTTTTCAGTTCAAATTTGAAAAAACATGGAAAGAGAAAAGAAATTGAATTCACTCTTTTATCGTTTTGATGTTATCGTCAGGGATGCCAACTGTAAAATCTACAGTTCGGAAAAAAATCCGTTAAAATCGGAAAAAAAGAGTACTAAAAATCGGAATGACGGTTTTTTCCAGAAAACCGTAAGAAGGTAAAGATACCAGGTTTTTTCTGTTACAACAAAACATGTTCATTTTCAATAGCAAAAACACATTCAACAACAGTTAAAAAATCTTATATTTCAAGCATTGGTTGTTACTTTTATGATTGTTTTTTTGTGCCAGGAACACCGTTGCGTTCACTTTTTCTAGTGACGTTTTGTGTTTTTTTATGTTTATTCTCACCTGAGCCTAATGGAAAGTTATTCTAGCAAACGTCCTCTGTCGTGGATGATGTCATCATGCCAAAAAGCATACAATCTTTCAACGATTTTTGAACAAAATTAATTAACAGCTAGAGATCAATAACTGGACTATACTATGCATTCATGCATAAAAAAGAAACGAATAGATTTTTTCTGTACTATCCCAATATATATCACAGAACCAGGGTGCCCAAATCCAATTTTTGGAAATCAGGAGCTTTTCGTTAAAAATCAGGAGTTGGTCAGGAGATTTTTTCTAAAAAATCAGGAGAGTATTAGACAGTTTTTTCTTCGACAAGCAAAACAAAAAAGTTTGTTTTTGTCTTTTTCAAACACATAGTGTTTTCTGAAATATTTTTTGATGGAACAGTATTATCATTTGTTACAGACTGCAGTACGGATTGAGGAAGAAGTTTTCGATCCGATGAATTTGGAAGTTCACTAATCTCATTTTCTGGTGATGAAAACATTCGATAAGCACACAGCGGACTCTTTCAATGTACAATTATGTAGAATGGAAAGAACAAAATCGATGCAAGAAAACAATTGAAAATCCGGAGAGATCAGGAGAAAATCTTAAAAATCAGGTCCTGAAATCAGAAGAATTTTTATCAGGAGAAAAGTCTAAAAATCAGGAGTCTCCTGGTCAAATCATGAGATTTGGGCACTCTGCACAGAACTGACTCATGGCATGTGTGTTTATCTTGCAAATAAACACCGATATATCATATATGTGATACACATGGAAAAAGAAAAAAAGAAACTGCTTTAAGTATGACTTCATGTCAATTAGTTGACTTCTTTTACAAATATGTGCTGTTCAGAAAAAAGCTCCAGAAACCGAAAAAAATCGGAAAATCAAAATTCATTCGGAAAAGAAGCTCAAAATCAGAAAAATTCCGATAAATCGGAAGACCTGGCAAACCTGGTTACCGCGTGGTCGGTTAGGATGAGCTATGATCAAACGACCGCTGTTTTTTTCCGCTGATTGATTCGTTTCTTTGCACTAAATGCTTGTCTGCCTTTTGGTACTGGAAAAAATTTGTTGTTTTCGGTTTTCGTTACTATAGCCAGTGTCTTTATGGTAAAAAATAGGAGAAAAAGAATGGAAATAGATAACAATGTATGCTGAGACGGGTATCGGACTTAAAACTTAGTAGTCTGGAACTAATTCGGACTTACGAGGGAACCTTTCGAGGTGATTAAACGCTTTTTGGTCGGAATCTAGTGGGTTATAGGTTATCGACCATGCTAATTCCAAATATGACCATGCGGGGTGCCCTTAGCCCTTAGAAGATTCGATTTTCTAGAAAAACAGTTTTTCAGAAACTGTAAAATATAACAAGAATCTTTCTTAATGAGGCATGATTGTGGCCCGCAAATTTCTGATTAAAACGAGGCATTGCCCAGCTTTACACGAGCTTTCTTTGCAAAGTTATAGAATTTACAAGAAAAGTCCTAAATTACTTTCGTCATATTTCTGCTGCTTTGAGCTGACAATGAACATTTAGGGCTTTTCTTGTAAATTCTATTACTTTGCTAAGAAAGGTCGTGTAAAGGTGGGGGGTGTCTCATTTTAATCAGAAATTTGCGGGCCACAACCATACCTCATTAAGAAAGGTTCTGATTATATTTTAGAGTTTCTGAAAACTTGTTTCCTAGAAAACCGGATCTTCGAAGGGCTAAGGGCAATCCCCATGGTTATATTTGGAATTAGCATGGTCGATAACCTATACATCGATCCTACATCCATAATCCACCAGATTCCGACCAAAAAGCGTTTAATCACCTCGAAAGGTTCCCTCGTTAGTCTTTAGCGGACTAGGACTTGACTCGGACTGGAAAACATCTGACCTGCACATCTCTGAGCTGTTCGGCTTTTGGATTGCAGTGTAGAGAAAATCTCTTAGATGTTACCACTAACGATCTGAACAAGGATATAAAGAAACAATATTATACGATGAAAATACCAAAAAGAAGCATGTAATCAAGTAAGCGAACTGGAAAAAAGGCAGACACGGACTGATCCTGGATTGAACATTTTCGAACTGGGACTGGACTTCGACAAAAGTTTTAACTGCTGGTCGGACTGAGACTGATAAAATGCGGGACTTGCCATCTCTAGTACGGAAAAATCAGCATACAAAATATTTACCTGTCGCTGGCAGCACAAGAATCGACGGATAGGTAACATCCACAATTGCAACTATAGAGTTGCCAACAACTAATGGTTTGGGAACAAGCAGTTGTTCAGTTGATGTCGTATCCATTAGTTCCGTCCGAACCGTTTGTTTACATGTTACACTATTCTGGCAGGTTGTTGAATAATTAATTGTACAATTCACGTTTAAATACAATCGAGCATAATTAGCATCTGCTTCACTATTTGAAAGAAGAAGAATCCTCAAGAAGATGAAAATAAAAGATAAGCAGTGCCTTACGTTGATCCTGCTGCTAATATACCCGTTATTGTAGCGCGAATAGGAACCAGTGAAATGCCAGATGCAGATATTGTTTTCACAAATGTTCTCGAAACCTAAGGATAGACAGTACGAGAAAAACCAATTTTATGAAGGAAGAACATATTTTTTGCTTGTGTCAGATGAAGATGAAACACCACTGCTTTTCTATTCAAAGTGGTTCCATCCAAGTTCAGAGCCAGCTAGACTACTATGGAAAAACTAGATCAAGATTTAATTGAACTAGCTACAGCAGTATGAAGGGTGTAGAGGATAAATGCTGAATATGGAGCATCAGAAAATATGGAAGAGCGGCCTCTAAGAACGACCCTGTTGCTTGACATGTCTCTGGGCGACTTTAAAGTAGAAAAGGTTTTACCGATCTAGAGATTTGCAAATGAATTGTACTTGTTCGTATGAAAAAATCTTAAGCTCTATTACGCTTCTATTGTCATGTTTAGAAGTTTTATTAAAGTTTAAAATAAACATTACCACTCGACTCAGCCGCTGAGTCGAGTGGTAATGTTTATTTTCAGTTTTAAAGTGAATTAATTCGCTAGATTAAACTTTTTTGAAATATCGACTCAATACGCCGCATAGCGCGACATAACGTCCGAATATAAAAATTTCAGAAATATTTAATTTAATGATTTCAGTCGCTTCAAAACTGAAAATAAATATCACCACTCGACTCAACATGATCGATTACCTATATTTCGAGGTTTTTAGGAGTGATCCAAGGTGAGCTGGCCGAAATCGGGACTCTCAGGAAACTACTTATATTTCCTGAACAGCACAAGCTATAGAGCTGGTCCTTGTGTACATCAATAGAGAACAATTTTCTATCAAATGGTTGTATTAGAATTTCAAACCCAACGGGGAATCTTTTCTCCAGTCAGTGTCCAATATGTCAGGCGAAAACTCACCTGATTGGTCAATTGTTGACCAACCAGCTTTCGATATTTCTTAATAAAGAATATTATTCTCTTTCGAATGTTGATAACCGCAGGTCTCTAGCTGCTTCCTATCCGAAGTTATTCAACTTACAACCGACTTCATTGTTCATTGAAATGGATAGTAATTCATGGTCGAACAAAATTACGAAAAGCTGGCAATAACCTTATTCTTAGTGTTTTAGGAAAGGTTCAGCATTTCTTTTGTAAATAATTAACTGTTTTTGCTTTGACATCTTATCTGCTTATGCTGAATAAATGCCTTGAACTACTGCTATAATATTTCAATACGCAATATGATTGTAGCCTGCAAATTTTCGATTAAAATGAGACATTCCCAGCTCTACACGGTCTTAGATCGATTTTCAATGCATTAGGGTCTCTTGATTTTCCTGTTACTACTATCCATTTCAAAATAGAAAACGCATGGTCATTTTCTCAATAACTTTTTCTAGGAAGCAGCTAAAAAGTTGCGATTTTCGCTGCTCAAAAGAAAAATGTTGGGGCTACAAGAAAAACTAAAAAGTTTTGTCCCAAAATTACCTGCAGGTGGTGTACCCTGCGAAGATATTTTGCGAAAGATGTCACATCACTGAAAAAGTGGTGTGAAAATTTGGTGTGTTTCTGACTTAAAATGGCTGATATACGGCAACTCTAGTTTTGACGGGCTTCATGCAAAAATCCGTTTTTTCATTAAAAATACGCTGGTG